ATGGATCATGAACCCTTATCTCTAATTAAGCCTTTAATTCTGTTAGGAATAAAGAAAGTAGACCTTTTACTATTCAGATTCTAATTAGGAATCCTAAACCTCTTACCCATTAGATTCATATTAGGGATCCTAACCTATATAAAGGGGGAATTAGAAGGCATTAGAACCCTATCACACATATCTCCCTCTCTCCACACGAAATCCCCTCCATGCCAAGGAATTCCCCATCACCAAGCTTAGGGAGGATCGATTAAGGAAAGACCTTAGGAAGTTGTAAGGAGTTTTTATTAAAACTACCAGGTAACCCATGTCTTACAAAACCTATTTTCTTTGCTATACCTTATTTATTGGCTCCTTTGATAATTGTATAGATGATTCTGTGATTGAGTCTTGATAGAGCCTTGCCTAGGATTTATATTGTGTTTATTTGAAAATCTTGTTGATCTTGATGTTGTGATTGATTATATATGTAATCTTGTATTTTAATTATGTCTAGAGCTTGTCCCTAGGGTTTATATCGTGAATCTCGTTGTTGTGATGTTCTTGGTATATTTGGGTGGATCTATGCATGATCGGGTGTTGAGTCTAGCCTAGGACTTGTCTTTAAGGCTTTGCATATAGCTTTCTTGATGTTCTTGAGGATCCGGATTGTCCTGAGCCGTCATTTGATTAATGTTAGGTCTTGGCATGTTTAGGAATCATGTTAGAACGTATTATGTATGATTCTTTGTTTAATTCCGTTAATTGAATCCTTGGTGTTGTCGTTACGTGTTAGAATGTGTCTGGACATGGATTCGAGTTCCATGGGTGATCCCGGGACCGAAAAGTTTTCTATGAACCAGTGGGGGGTAGGTGGGGTGGATGACCGCCCACCACCTACCCACTGCCCGGGAACACTGTTCCAGCGGGCAGTGGTCTGCCCGCCGGCCACCCGCTGGAATAGTGGTTGGCCGCCGGCGTGTGGCTGCCGGGTGGTCCTCCACCCGCCACCTACCCATTGGAAAGTTGATGTGGGTCGTGGTGTTTTTCCCCGTTTGTTGTTTCCTCGTATTACGTCGTGTCCCATTGTACCCAGTTTGTCTTGTATGAGTGTCATTTGATGTTTTGAATACCGTTCTAGGAATTCATGTGTAGTACGTGTCGTTGTTGTTATGTCTTGATTGCTATTGATTGATTATGTGTTGATTGATTGAATGATGAGGAGTATCGTGGTCATTGCGCAATGGCCGGTGTGACAGATGATAATGATGTTGAGATTGTGATTGGTGGAAATGAATTGTTGTCGGTTGGCACAACGAGTCCCCGGTCATTATACTAAAGGTATAGGCCTATCAGTTACTGTGCTAAAGGCACAAACCCAACTTCGATTAGCTTGCCGTTGAGCATGGGTCAGGTTATAAGTGCTACGGTGTCATATCGGGTTATATGCGCTGACCCCTTGGTATAGGTACTAGAGGTACGGATCATGCGAATGACATGGTGGCGCTATCTTGATATGTTTGTCGTTGATAGGTGGTTTGTCAGTGGGGGCATGTAGTTGCCCGGAGGAATAAGGGAGGCGATATAAGGGTAGCCTGGAGGTATAGGTTGGAACTGATATAAAGACGGAGGGGAACCACAAGGTTGGAACTTGGTATAACGTTGGAAGATGGATTGTGTGCTTTGATGATTACTTGTTAATTGATTGTCTTTGAATGCCCTTGTTGTCTCTATTTGCTACTTATGAGCTTATTCGTCTATTATGTCTTGTATCGTACTCTTAGGATGCATGCTAGCCTTTATGTTTACATTGTCGAGTCTATTATCGTGTCTTGAGTTTTGATCTTGGATTTAAATTAGAGTCTCATAGATTATATATGTATTCCGGTTTCAAAATGATTTCCTTATATCTACCTATATTGTACTTAACGCGATGGAATGGGTTACCAGCATTATTGGCTGACGGTTGTTACACCGTATGTTTTTCCAGGTACAGATCAGTAGCTTCATAGTGTGTTAGATGGACTCGTGGATTTTGCTTAGTGGTAATTAGATGGTTTGTGAGCCTTGAATTGTATTGTGGATATTAGTCATAGTTCATGCCTTGTTTGGTTAGTTTAGCCTGTGCCTCTAGGTTCTCAAACCTAGATTTAGCACCCCGACTATTATGTTTCGTTTATGCTCTGTTTGGGATTTAATATTAGATTCGTCTTTATTTTATAAGTTTTAAATAGTTTAAAATTTAGGGGTGTTACACTGCAGGTCTTTGGTGTTCAGCTCTAACTTTGTTACATATCATGCATATAGCCACAAAGTCAGCAATATCCCGCTTCATACCACTCCACCAAAAATTATTTCTCATATCTCTATACGTTTTGGTAGCACCTTGATGTACCGAGAAGTGAGACTGATGGGTATCCTTTAATATATCCTTCTATATCTCAACATCATTCGGATTGCATAGTCAGGACTTGAAATATACGAATCCATCATCTTAAATACCGAACACTTTTGGGTCACTCGTTTGATTTTTTTTTTCACAAATCTTAATCAACTTGGGAAACTTTAATGCGATATAATAATACTTGTTTTGCAATCATAGTTATCAATATCTCTTCTTGCTTATCTTGCAAAATAACCTCAACTTCTAAATCTTGAAAATCTTTCAACAATTGGATTTTAGTAGTCACCACTGTCACGTTAACCGTTGAAGACTTACGACTTAAAGCATCAGCTACCATGTTGGCTTTACCTGGATGATAATTAATAGTGAGGTCATAATCTTTTATTAGCTCCAAACATCGTCGTTGTCTCATGTTTAATTCCTTTTGGGTAAAGAGGTACTTCAAACTTTTGTGATCCGTGAATATTTGATAAGATTCTCCATACAGGTAGTGCCTCCAATTTTTTAAAGCAAATACCGCAGCTGCTAGTTCTAAGTCATGAGTGGGGTAATTAACTTCATGGGACTTCAATTGTCAAGATGCATAGACTACCACCTTATTATTTTGCATCAACACACATCCTAATCATCTTCTTGATGCATCACTATAAATAACAAATCCTCCTTTCCCGGATGGTAGGGTTAAGATAGGTGCACTAACCAATCTTTCCTTTAATTCCTGAAAGCTCTTCTCACACTCTTCATCCCAATCAAACTTTATACCCTTCCGAGTTAACCGAGTCAATGGCATAGCTATTAATGAGAAGTCTTTCACAAATCTCCTGTAATAACCTGCTAAACCCAGAAAACTCCTTATTTCTGTGACATTAGTGGGTCTCGACCATTGTGTTATGGCTTCAACCTTAGTTGGGTCTACAGAAATCCCGTCTCCAAAAATTACTTGACCAAGAAATGATACCTCCTTAAGCCAAAATTCACATTTACTTAGTTTGGCATACAATTAATTTTCCTTCAATGTGTGCAAGATGGTCCTTAGATGTTGAGCATGCTCTTCCTAACTCTTTTGAATATAGCAAAATGTCATCAATAAATACCACAACAAATTTTTCCAGAAATGACTTGAGAACCCTATTCATTAAATCCATAAAGAAAGCAGGAGAATTAGTTAGCCCGAACGACATCACCAAAAATTCATAATGGCCATACCAGGTCCTAAAAGTATTCTTTGGTACATCACTAGCTTTAACCTTCAATTGATGGTACCCTAATCTCAAATCAATTTTTGAGAGGTATTTAGAACCTTGAACTAGTCAAATAAATCATCTATGTGAGGTAGAGGATACTTGTTCTTGACAGTAACTCTATTCAATTTTTCCAATAGTCAATACACAATTGCAAGTTGCCATCCCTTTTCTTCACAAATAACACTAGTGCACCCCAAAAAGATACACTAGGTCTAATAAATCCCATATCAAGCAATTCTTGCAATTGTACCTTTAACTCACGTAGCTCAGATGGTGACATCCGATAAGGAGCCTTTGAGATTGGAGTAGTTCCGGGAACAACCTCGATTTCAAACTCAATTTCTCTATTTGGAGGTAATCCATGTAAATGCTTTGTGAACACATCCAAAAATTCCTTAACAACTGGGATATCATCTAACTCAACTTCTTTATGGTGTCTTTCTTAGCCTTCAATATAGAAATTACTTTCAATGGCACTTTTGACACCAACACTTCGCTTCTAGGAAAGTGTCTCAAAGTAAAGATAGATTGTATAGGAATTTGAAATACCACTTTTCTACGAGTGCAATCAATATAGGCATTTTTTTTTTTTTTTTGCTAGTCCATTCCTAATATCACATCAAAATCCTGCATATCTAGTTGAATTAAATCAATTGACCCTTTCAAAAAAAAATCAATTGACACATCACTCCCCTTAAGTTGTAGATAAGCATCTTGAAACCAAGTATCTGTCACTACAATTTTCCCCATAGGGGTATTAACATACAAAGGTTCACTCAACTTCTTAACTTGCAAATTTAAATTCTTTGCAAACTTCTCATAAACAAAACAATTCGAAGAACCTGAATCACACAGCACGTAAGCATCCACAACTATGTTCTGAATAGGCGACACATTTATCAACGACCTAACCCGATGAGTTTGACCACGTGTAAGAACACCACTCTTAATCATTGTCACACAACACTCCCTAAATTCAAAACATAGAAGCTATGACCACATTAGCAAAAATGTTGAGGAAACCACATCCAAAACTCGCTCAAAGCCTAAACTTATCATCCCCTGGGTTAAAGCCTAATCTTTCAAAAATTCAAACTTAACTTCTTGACCAACTAAGGATTTACACCTAGACTCTGGTAGCACTCTGTCATGCCCCACTTCTAGGACATGACCCGGCCGTATCATTACGTGAAGACCTATAGCAATACGAAGCCTAACCATACATGCCTCTCAGAATCTTCATAGTAACACTTGAATATACAATAATTCAACGACCCAAAAAGGCAAAATATAATCGACTAGATCTTCCCAAAAACTCATCAAATCCACTATTAAATATTTACAATATAATCAAGAGTAATATGTTCAAAATGCATCACAAGCACCAAAACCAAGCATAATGGTTTACCAAAAATACAAAGAGTCAAAGTGAATATCTAAATAAACAAAAATCCATGATAAGCTCCAATACTAGGACTAAGTTTCCTAGTTTCAAAAGTCACATTCGACACCCCACCACTTGTGCTCGTGTTATTCACATGTCCTTAACTACTCTGAAACATGAGGAAAATACAAACAATGAGCTAATGCCCAGTAAGTGGTACTCTTCTCAACCCCGGATCAAGTAACCTTAATAGAATACCATAAGCTTTAGAGTAATAAACAAATGCAAATCACGATCTTCAAGTTATACTGAAGTCATATTATAATCCCTTCACACTTTACACAAGTTCTCAACATAGAAAACTTTAGCTACATGGGCATCAACATTATTTCATAACACAATACTTTTAAAAGCTCAAATCATTCTTTAACCCATGACTCTTTGGCAACCTACAACCACCATTATCGCCATAATGGTCCAAAAAGACTCGACAATTTGGAATGAGTCGGGCTCGACGATTCAGAATGAGCAGGATGAAACGTTCCAACAAATAATTCAAAGGACTCGATGATTCGGAATGAGTTAAGTTCGACGATTCAGAATGAGCAATTAGGAACGTTCCAAGCCGAACAGAACAAACAATAAAAATGTAGGTTGCATCATGAGTTTCGTCAAACCTTCAAAAGAATTCTTTTAATAAAAAACATATCACAGTCCAAAATACTTTTAACTCATACTAACCTTTAAATGGGCATTCAAAGTAGTATAGATTCCAAAATAGTTTATGGGTTTTGCAAAATAAGGAGAGAACAGTTAACCAGTTACCTAAAACATCCAAATCTTAGCTATTTAGCTCACTCAAATACTCCTTGTCAAAATCCCTAATATTTTCAAACATCAATCTTAGGGCGCAAATGATAAACCCAACTCAAAAGGAGTGGAAAATGGAGTTCAAACTCACCTAGAATACTCCAATAACTTGAGACCTATGCTTGAAGAGGATGAAGATCAAAGCTTCCATGTTTTTCCTTCCCCTTATCTCTCTAGTCAACTCTCCTTATCTTCTTTCAAATGAGATTTTTATCCAAGACTAAGTGATTCCTTAACCTTTAAGGATAAGAAAGGGTAACTTAGTAATTTTATCCCATATCAAATTTTAATAAGTTTTGACTTGTTGACCTAATTTAATAAACATAGATATATTTTTATTTCTAGGGTAGTGGGTATTACATAAGCATGTAGAAGAAGCTTCCTATTTCGTCTTAGATCAAGACAAAATCTAACTTGAAAACTAAATTTCACTTTTAATCATATGATTAATTACCGCAGTATTTTTACATTTAGTTTATTAATTTAATCATATTTATTTTGTTTGTTAAATAATTAATTAAAACGAATATGTCAATTGTAATCATGCAACTAAATATAAGATTAATTCTAAAGAAAGAAAACAAATGTAATAGTGGATTTGTGGTGCAATGGTAGTGCATCTAACTCCAGATTAAAAGGTTGCGTGTCATGTTAGGTTCAGATCCCAAGATCCATTTTATGTTTCTATATACATATATACATATTTATTTATTTATTTATTTATAATAATTATTCTGGTCGGGGTTGGGATCCTCGTTGGGATGGGATATACTTCAATAGTTTTGAATTTTGATTGACCAAATCAATCTTGCACGAACTATGATCAATTTTGAACCAAAAGAAAGAAAGAAAAAGAAACAAAGAAAAAACAAGCAAACAAACTACAGAAATAGTTCCTCTAAACACGAATAGTACCAATTATGATCAAAGCATTTTGATTCCCCAAGTTCTATACATGGCATTATAATTTAATGAATAAATCTTATGTCCATTCTTGATCCAAGAATGTTTCTAAGAATAAATTTGTGTATTATTAAAGAAGAAATCATCCTAACTACACAGAAGCGATCGACATCATCAACGTACGTACAATAACATCACATAATAAGTTGAATGCACATTGTATGATTTAGGGGTAAGCGTGAAGTGGATTGGAGTTGATTTGGGGTACGGTGAATTACATTCAATCCGCTAAAGGTGGATTTAGAAAATCTCATCCGCTAGGAGTACAAATCCAATTCAATTCTATTCGTTAATAGCGGATTTAACAGATTGGATGCGAAGGATGATTGATTTTAATTTTAAAAACAAAATAAATTATAATACAAGATTTCAAGCGTTAAAAAATCAAAATCACAAACTTTTAAGTTTCTCATTAAAAAAAAAAACGAATATCTATACAAATAATTAATTTTTTTTTTTTTGAAATGATACAAATAATTAATTTAAATTCAAACAAATTTAAATTACAAATCTTTGTTCATTTTCAATTCTTCATCTTCAACACAGTGTTGAACTTGTGATTGTGACGCCACGAAGAAGAACAAATCTGACGTAAAGAATGAAACAGGCAGAAAGTCAGAAATGATTATTCTGAAAGAGAAACCTAAAACCCTATGTTATAATGTTAAGTATAGAAACTTTTGAAATTAAAATCCAATTATAATTTTAGATTTGAGTTGCACTTTAAGTGGATGCGGATAGGAAGTGAGCGAATTTGATAAATTGGAGCGTATTTGACGGATCCTTGCTCACCCCTAGTATGGTCCATAAAAGTCTTACAAATATGCTCCGACTATTAATATAATGTTAATATATTTCATGATTGTATAACCAAAAAAATATATTTCATGACTAGTTCCTTATATTTAGGACTATCTCTAATGAATAATTACTAGCTAGAACCAACATGTATGCCTTGACTCCCCCTCATTAATCTTAGCCAAAGATCGATAGAGTAGTCATAAAATACTCCAACAATTTAGATAACGAATCCAAAAACTCAGCCTACAAATGAAACTTTTAAAACATATACTAAATAATCGCAAAAGAAGAGGTAAATTCAACTTTCATAACATAAAGTGACGAGGATTATATTTGACTGATGCTATTTTATGAAGCAACTTTATAGACTTTAAGTAAAATTTGCATCAATATAACTAAATATCTTTAAAGTCCACACATAGCTAAACACTAACTCAATATTTTTGTGTTCAATTTTATATCGTGTTAATGGGTTGTTTCAAATTGTCCCGTCCACTTGTGACTTATGTGTAATATAAGAATAAATTATATCATTAAACAACATTGAAATTGTTTCATATTTCTAGTTAATTACCAACTTGATCATGAACCTAGATAGTTACAGCAAATCGTCTTTTATGTGATGTAGAGAGAGTTAGAAATTTTTGATAAGTTGTTACCCGTGTTAAATTAATTGTGTTAATGAAACTAATAAAATAAAATTTATATCTAGTATGTTGAAGTTAAAAAGGTTAGTACCTAAGCGCTATAAATAACCCTTGCTTCATCTTCATAGAGTCTATAAGTAAGGTTTATCAATGTTATAACGCAGCGGAAAATATTTACCCCTTTTTTAATATTAGGCACGTGATTTGTTCTTTTTAAAATTTTAGGTTTGGTTGACTTTATGCTTGAAAATAAATGCAATATGCAAAGAGATTGAGAGGGAGAATTTTATAGAGGTCCGGTCAAAATTCATCGTACTCCACTCTTCCCTTAAAACTTCTAGAAGGATTGCACTATGATACTTAGTATAATGAAAGAGCACTTGAGCCTGGAAGACAAAACCGACCTTAAGTTTCAGGTTTTTCACAAGATTACACTTCTGATTACTCCGTCTCATTCTACTATCCAGTAGAGGATGTTGGTTCAAACACAGTGATTGTTCATCATTTCTCTAACTAATTGACTTGGCTTGAGATTTCTTCTTTTTCTTCGCCAAAGTCTAAATCTAGATCTTAGTTTGTAGCTTTTCTCTCACTGGTCACTTGAGATCGTTCGTAAGCTTGCTTGTTTTGCACTTGCGTAGTCACGTTTTCAAAAGACCAGCGCCTCTTTTGATTTACATGGAGGTATTTATAGACCCATTTGAATTTGTCAGTGGGAGGGAATAAATTCAAATGTCTATTACCCATCGTGTATTGACCAATGGTTATTTAGTAGATTGCTTTAGTTCAGATTTTCAATCATTGCTTTACTTTTGTGTATGCTCCTTGCTTTTTGGGTTGGATATTGGTGAATAAATCGATACACACAATATATATATATATATATATATATATATATATAACAAAAATAGGGATTTATTTTATCAAAATAATCCCACCACAACTAGAACAAAACTAGTACAAAACTAGTACAAGTGATTTAATTTCTCCGAAATTAATCCCACCACACTTGGTACGAAACCAATTAAAGAACAAATATATAAATGAAAAAGCTAAGGTTTCTAACCTGAGGTTTTAATCCAGCGAGAAGAAGAGGAAGCCCGATTCATGTGTACACACACACTCCTTAAAACCGATTCGCCACCTCCCGAGGGTGTTAGGAGTGTTGTGGCGTTAGTCACACAAGATTAAGCACTCCATACGAATTTACGAAAGATGTTGGAAGAATTTCTCTTTGTAAACGAATTGAGAGTTGAGAGAAAACAAAGTAAGATTTTGAGTTTTTTTTTTTTTCAATCCCCCGTACCCCCCCCCCCCCCCCCTCCCCCAGAGTTTCAAAACTAAATTACCAAACGTTCTGCCAGAATCCATGTTTTTATAGGAAAGAGTGGAGTAAGTCACTCCCCCACACATAAGCTTTTGCTTGTCCTCAAGCAAACCCAAGAAATAAATTACAAGCCAAAACACACAATTTACTCCAACTCTCTCTTGCACAACCTTTCAAACCACCAACCAACTTGCTACAAAACAACAAGCTTCAAGAATCAAATTAGTTTGGCACATAAGACTCATTCTCAAGCCAATAATCAAGCACCAAGAATTTAAAGTACGTGAGGATCAAATGTGCACAAATACTCAGTTGAGATTATGCAAAACAAGGCTCATGAATGAGATCCCATAGGCTAGCCCTTCATACTCCCCTATATCAAATAGAAGAATGCATGCTAAGATCAAATAGGACTTTATTTAGCTTGTAATGGGGCTACGGGTGATGGCTAACAAAGAAGTGGTATGGAAAAGTTAACAGAAAGAGAGAATGTCACAATTTATCTAAACTTTTAAAAATTTGGAAGAGATGAGACAATCACAATTCAAGGAGCAAAATTTCTTTTAAGAACACAGCAACTCTTTGGTGAAGAGGGGGTCCAAACTTCAAATTTCCAATCTTTCTTTCTTTCTTTCTTTCTTTCTTTCTTTCTTTCTTTTCTCTTCTCTTCTTTTCTTTGATTCTTTTCTTTGGATTACTTTTGGATTCAGCAAGATAATTTTAATCCAATCATTCATGACCCCCACTGTAACACCCCGTGTTACGACCCCTAAAACCAATTAATCATTTAACCAATTATCCAAAGAAAGAATTAAATTACAATAATTAATTTGGGAAAAGGCCCACCATGATTCGTGGGCCCTCACCCCTAAAACCCAACCCCTAGCCCTAAAAGGAATAGAATTAGCAAGCCTATAATATTAGTTCCTAATTAGGACTCCTAGATTTATAAATAGGGGACTTAAGAGACACCTAGAACCCCCCATCACAATAATCCCTCACCACACAAGAAGTTCCAAGAATTCCCCTAGGAGAAATCAAGAAAGAAGAAAGTTTCAAGAAAGACCCTTCATAGCCAAGGAATTAATTAAGGCTAAAAGGTAACCCATGTCTCAACAAAACCTATTTTCATAGCTATGATTTCCCTCTTAGGATTTCCCCCATATTCTTGTGTGTTGACGATTCATTATGTTGATCTTGGTAATTGGTGTTATGATTCCATGGGTGATCTTGATGATCTTAATGGTATT